GGGCCTATTACCTCTCTCATCCGTTGCAACATGTCCGTCGCAGAACCGTGTTGCAGGTCGATATTGTTGAAGAGTTGATCTAACCTTTGTTGATCGGTTAAGTCTCCTCGTTTAAGAATCGAGCGTTTTAAGATTTCGTAAGTATCGGAAATATCACTAGTAAACATACTAGGTGTTACGTACCTGTTGAATTCGCGCGGTAGTGCCTTGACTACTGCGAGGAACTGTGCACGTGTGTCGATCACGCCGTGCTCGTGGAAGTCGGCTTCTGCGTAGCAAAACCAGGCTTCAATGTTGTCGGGCCAGAAAGGCAACAGTTGAAACGAAGGTGGGGACAAAGTCTTAAGCTTGAGTACTTTAGTTGTCTGTTCAGTCATGATGAAGTATGAAGTACGATAGTGAACGAGGGGAAAATATATATATATCCAAGAAGAAACACGAAAAAAATCACATTATTTAAAAAGAATAAAAAAATAAGGCAATGATATATAAAAATCCCAAAAAGGAACAGAATCACAGTTGCAATTAGGTGTACCAGATCACGTCGGTCTCACCAATGATGATGTCACAGGTATTCAGTGTTTGACAACGCTTCTACCAGTAACACCTTCTGATGTATTTCGTTATCACCCAGAGAAATCAAAAGACAGAGTCGAGGAGATCGGAAGAGTATATTTGGCGATGACCAATATATCGGAATTCTTTGATCTAATCTGGCTAGCGATTGGGGTTGATGTTAAGCACGGCGTTACCACACGTGATCTGGTGCGGATGCCTGACCGAGCGCCTTCAGCTAGATGAGTCCACTAAAACATATGGTCAGCATCCAATGTCGAAAACTTAAAGCTATTTATTTTGGGGATTTATTTACCGCCACATCCGGTTTATCCTCTTCGTTGCATACTTTCCTCCGGAGTTTCACATAATTAGCGAAAAGTGGTAAATCTGACAATACCTGCTGTGGAAGATCGCTTGTATAAGTCAAGAAAAGAAGAGGGCCTATCACTGAACCCTGGGGACCTCACCAGGACATTCTATAGCCTGAGAGAAATTGAAGTTAACCCTGACCTTAAAATGTCGATTCTTTAGATATGAAGTGAGCCGATCTGTTAAACGTGATTTGATACTTAAATGGTTGAGCCTATTGATAAGACATTGATCGTCGACCCTATCAAAAGCTTTCGATAAGTCAATGTAAATGACGTCAACCTTCTCCTTGCGATCAAAGATGGTTGCCCATCTGTCCACCGCAGTCGGCAGGTTGACTAAACAAGGGTTACCTTTTCTGAAACCACGCTGTTAGGACGGAAGGAAGTTCATGGATAGTAAGTAGTCGTGTATACCATCGCATATCAGGGACTGCATAATTTTTGAGGGTATAGAGAGTAGTGCCAGCGGTCGTTAGCTTGAAGGTTCGCTGCGTCGACCTCCTTTGAAAATTGGTGCGGTATGAGCCAGCTTCCACTTTTCTGGTAATGTGCCTAGGTTTAGCGAATATGAGACTGAAGGTGCTTCTCTTAGTATAGCAGAATGGACTATATCCGGACTAGGAGAAGTGTCTATTTTAGGTGCTGCACTTTCCGCCACACCAAGTCAGCGTTCAAGTTCTCTTACCTCAGTTTTGCTGATAAAACTGACGGCTATGATGGCATGATCGCTTTTCCCCAGAACAGCCAGGATTGAGAGGTTGTCAATTAAGAATTCTTCGTCTGCAAATACCCAGTCTAAGCGTGACGGTGTCTGACTGCTTCTCCAACGAGTTGCCGACTTCACATTTTCAAATAATCCCAGATTTTCAATGAGATTGAAGAATCGAGCATCAGTAGGGTTTCTGCCTCCAATGTACGTATGATCCGCGATGTCCAGTTGACCAGCCCCACTACTTTGCTCACTCCAGATTTGACATTGTTTGCGACCAACTTTGTCAACGACCTGACCAGCCTTTGCGGTTCACTAACGTGGATGAGCAAATTATAGAAAACCTAAGATGGTGCTTTGGTGTATACCGATTGTAATCCGTTTCCATTCAGGTTCTGTCTCACTTTCTCTCATCATCTCTGGCCACTGTAAGTTTCTCATCTATTCTTGTTTCGTAACTGTTGTTCCAAAGCCTGAGAGATTCTGCACAGATCCTTACTGAGATAGCATATCATATTTTTTGCTGAAACCTATGAATTTCACAACAACAGACGAGACAATATCTTGGTCTGATGTACGGTACTCTCTCGCAGTCACTAAGTAATGTAGCGTGAATTTTTATTCTCAAACCCGTATTGCTCAAGAGGTTGACAGATTGTATGGTTCCGTATGATTTGGTAACATATCCGGATTTGTTTTCTCAAATACCACAACTACTATATTAGTTAGACTGAAGGGTCGGTAGTCAGACATGATGTGTCATTTTCTATACACAAACAAAGGACTTATGATAGCTCTATTCCGATTCCCAGGGAGCTGAGTTTGAGAAAGCGACATGTTGCGCAGAACTGTAAGTGATTGTGAAATAATGTCCAGAAGAAATCACAGCAGTCGTTCATATAACCCACCAGTGCCCTGTGACTTAACAAGTTCAAGGTGAATAAGTTATTAAAGAACAGCTTCCTTAGTCGCAAGCACTGCTCCTTTGGCTGGTATCTTAGCAGTGTGATCACGAGCAGTTTATCAGGATACCCGCGCAACAGTAATGGGTAACTCAACTACTACGCTTTCTTGTTAAAACTACCATTTTGATCATGTACAGCAATCGTATACCGAATGTCTTTCGTAAACAGTGCGGAATCTAGCTACTGCTTTACTACGTATATATTCCCGATTTTTCAGTATTCCAATTGAAATAATTCACTAATCGCTGTTAACCACAAGTCCTAAGCCTGTTTTTTAAACTATAGAAGCTTTCGAATTTATTTGTTGATTTGTGTAGGGAAATTTGATTGATAGCTTACGTGTTCAGCATGGGATGATTGGTAATGTTACGGCTGGTTGATTCCCTTTTGCTAGAATTTTCACAAGTCTTTCCCAGCAGAATCCTAAAAAATGAACCACATTTTTGCAATATGCTTCAGATGAACGACAATCTAATATAAGGTGCCTTGTAACCTTGTAGTTTTGTCATGGCAACTCCACGTTATTGAATAAGGTTTATTGTTTTAGTAGCATAGATAAGTGCACCAGTACTAACCTAGATCATATCTAACAGGTGTAGCTTCTGTCAGGTTTCATACCCTACTGACAGTATGGGAAATCTCGGACATTTGATCCCATTTATTTCCTCCTGTATAGTAGCCACATTTGGTTCGCGAGGAAGCTGTCGATTCGCAAAGAATGTGGTGGATTATCGTACTGGAAAATGAACAAATGAGGTGTCTATGGGTGAAAGCAACGTACTCCAGGAACCTCAGCACAAGTTTAGTAACGGTAGGTAATGTCAATTCAGTCTTCTCATATCATGGGACAGTTGGACAACCTCCTAGGACCAAAAGATATCAGTTCTCATAATATCTCTTAATTTCAGGGAAGTCTTTGGGGCAGCACCTCATATACTTCTCTTACCAAAAATTGCAGAGATTGGCTTTACTGACCCAATCTTATCCTGACATCGAAATTACCTAGAGAAAAGAATGCTCCGTAACAAAGTAAATTGAATGCGAGCACATTAGTGAGTCTCAAAATGTTAGGTCCACTCCCGCGCTTGATCTTTAATGATGACCTGTTAGATGAAATTAACTCAACGGCACTATTCTATGCAAACGACGCGAAAATCAGGTCTGTAGAATACGAGAGGATTCACTTAAACCTCAAAAGGACCTTACGATAATCGAGGAGTGGACAGTTAACAATGGGTTAAGACGTAAATCTTCGAAATATTATGTTATCACAGTTCTGTCTCATTTGAGATGAAGCATCTACACATCCAATCGAAATTCTCTTCCGATTGTCCCCTTAGGGTGTGATCTTGAGCTTGCGATTAGGAAGAGCTTAAACACCAGCTTGAACAACATAGGTGATCCAGTCAAGGCTGGTTCATCCTTCCACTTTGACCGTGGACAACGTGGTGCAGTCACCCTAGAGTCATTCCTCACACTGTTCAAAACACATGCACAGACTTATCTTAACGTCCAGAATGTCGATGCACCTCCTCTCTTCAAAAGAGACATAATTCTTCAGATCATGTGCTGGGACAAGCAACCGACTGGGGGATAGGGCTATGATACAAATCGTACGAGGGTAGACTCTAACACTGGGGATTATTCTCGCTGAGCCTTAGGAGAATAAGAGGTGATCTTATGATGACATACAACATATTGAGTACAACAAACCACCCCAAAACGAACATACTGGCAAAACATCAACACTAAACGTTGAAAGGATTGCACATCGAGGAGCTCCTACTTTTTCTTATTAAGAGTATCACTCATTTGGAATGCTTTCCCTCCCGAACTGACAAACAAATACTCACCCATGGATTAACATATCTCTCTTGGACTAGCTGTGTCTGATGCGTATCTCATAATTAACCATATTTATCATTACCGTACGTCAGGAACCGCTTACCAACTCGCTTATTGTCATCTCCACTTCAACTTTTATTCTTCTGATTCAGTCTTCTCACGATGTCTGTATCATTAATTAATTATGTATTTGTTCGTGAGACAAGGGTCTTCTCTTAGCACTGGAATTACCACTTTATTATTTTAAAACTGTAACTGAACAAATCTTTTGCTTATCAGTGAGATAGAAGATGGAACTCATAAACCCTGCTTCCCTGAGGTGAATGCACTCACTCAAATTACAAGATATATCAATTCACAAATGACTACCACACTGACTAGAATTAGTGGAGTCGAGTGGTTAGAATAACCTCAGTGGACGTTGTTAAATGCCTAGAGTCTTACTGAAACAGTAAGAAATGAGCGCAAACAGATCAGTTGGTTATACGAGCTCATAAAAAAGATATTAGATATTGGATTGAAGGCTTGCTTCACTGCGCATTTTTCGTATAGCTCGTTACAGTAAGTGGTGGTCGTGGCGACTCACTCCGCCAAACCCAAAATATCTGCATTAGTCGCAGTATTTAAAACGTCACTCAAAAACCAAGCTGCTCATAAAAATGTGCGAACTTGCAATATATTGATCAGTGATATCCATCAGTATATTTGAACCCAGGAATAGAAACGGATTGGAACGAGGCACATGGGGCCGAATTTTGCGAAGAACTCCATTTTTAATACAGTCGGTCTCATGTTTTGAGTGTGGTTTTTTCACCTTATTTGTTCAGGACACCATATTTTACTGATTAGAGTACTAATTCTTACCATCCCCTTTACTACCCTGGGCGCATGGCAGGTTATTGTATTTTATGTATTGAAGTACATTTCGAGTAGTAATAGTTCAAAGCATTTTATCCAGGCCAACAGCCATTTATAATAGTCGTTTTCAATACAAAGAGTTCAAAAAAGTTCCATGTTTCCATTTGAAAATGTAAGAGTAGAGCTTTTTGATGGTCAACGTACTTCTTTGCACACCTTCCAGATAGTCATAAAACTGGTTGAATAACATGGTCACACGCAGGCATTAGATCTTGGAATACAACCTAAGTTAATTGTCAGTAAACATACTTGATCAATGAATTTAAGTTCAGGTCTAGAAGCAGTCCGGTTTTCTCTTATTCGGTTCTCGGGACTTCGTCAAGGATTATGCAACTACTGAAGTCAATATTCTTGGTTTGAAATTGGTTGCTCCAATTCTTTTACTGTTATGACGATAGAACAGCCTCTTTAATCTAAACTATCTGTGATCGTGACCAGCTTAGTGGAATTGTCTTTCCACTCAGCTTTTTGTCAATTGTAACCGTAACAAATTTGGACGGCCGGTTTTCGTTTCTAGCTATAATAGTAGTTATTTCTCCTTGGGTTCTGATATACAGTGATTAATCATCCAGTTTTATCCTTTTTAGATGGATATTATCAAAGAAAATTTAAATAACATCACAGATATTAGTTTCAAGAAACTTGAAGGGAAACTCAAAACTCTAAACTTAATTCCTAACAGTGTACATCTTGTAGTAATAAGCAAATTATCCATCCCAAAAATTATTCGTGTAAACTTACCACATCGTTCAAAAAATCTATCTATCTGTTTGATAGTTAAAGATTTTCGCAAAGATGATTATGAACGCACTACCGAATCTTGGAAACGGCGTTGGAACATGGATTTGAAAAAGTCCGAACTTTCTCACTTAGACGCACCTGAAGTGACATTTTTACCTCTGCGGGAACTAAAAGTAGCTTACCAAACGTTTGCTGCCAAACGTCGACTGGCTGCCACTTTTGACATATTTCTTGCCGACAAACGAATTGTTCATCGTTTACAAAATAAACTGGGTAAAGCGTTCTACCAGGAGGTTTCAGGGAAATTTCCTATCCCAGCGTCATTTTCGAACAATAATCTTGTAGATACTGTCCGACGGCAACTACATACATCTTTGTTCGTAATTCGAGGCAATGGGACAACCGATAGTCTCATAATTGGGGATGATCTTTTCTCTTCATTCGAGCTAAAGGAGAATGTGATATCAGTCGTAAGTAATTTTTAGATTTCTGTTCTAAATTTTAAGTCCTAAATGTTTGAAGTGAATATAATGACACGTCTTGTTGCTTGCTTGTCGTATCTGTATACTGCTTGATATGACTAGATTTTTGAAGTAGTAATAACAAATAATAATGCTGTTTGTTTCCAGATATGTAGGTACTCACGAAAGCCTTACTATTTTACACGTTACTTTCTGTATTCCTTTTTTTAAGTGACCAACGTATTGTTGCTTAAAGATCACTGAATAACTGGTATTTATTTGTTCGTCTTAACGAAGATGTTGCATACCAAAAAACAGTAAACGAACCTACATAATGAGGAGGGGGGTCAAAATAATTTCCTTCATAAAGTTCCATATGTGAACTGGAACAGTTCACTGTTTATGGGGTCTTTAATTCGGTGCAACTCAGTCATTCGGTCACCCCAACCAAGACAACTAAAGTAATCAGACGTTACAAAAGCTTTTGCGGTGAACAAAATTTCAGGTTACCAGTACCGATTAGAACGACTCAACGTATATTTAGCGTTAAATAAGATGCCTTATGGGCTGGGGTCAAAATCATATTAGTTGATTTTGTCCACAAATTATAATGGCTTTTTTACGCCGTAGTACAACTCAGTAGTCTTACATTTTATCAATCATTTATTTATTTATTTGAACACAAACATTAGTACAAGGGGGCACCAAATACATATGCCCCACACAATAACGATGAGTTTGTGAATAGATAAAGTGCGTATAATAAAAAAGAACAACAAACAGAAATTAGTGTATTAGAGTGAATTAATAATAATAATACTAATGGGAGAAGCAGTTCAGTTAACAAAAGTATAACCAGAAAGTATTCTTTCAATCAAAAAAGTTACGTTCATTTTTATTAAAGTAAAAGAAAGTTACGGCAGCATCGACACTGGCTTTTATTCTGAGCCATATCTAATAACGTCTCTAGCTACTGTGTTGCACCATCTCTAGAAACCTAATCACGGAGTCGTAAAGGTCCAATAGAAGCCAGTCCTATACAGCTTTGTTTCGTACCGTGACATCATGTCATACACTGACCGCCTCCCCACTTTTTTCAACCAGTTCTAGTGTCGGCAAATAATGCACGACATGAAGTTTTCTGGGACAGCATTCGTGGGACATATTTAAGGCACCAAAGTCAATGTCTCAGGATAATGACTAATTGAATTATCGTCGCTGTGCCTGAACACACAATATCGAACCTCTGCATTACTAAAATGGTGTTGCCACTGGATGCCAGCAATCCTTCGGAGACAACGGTGATCAAACACAGATAGTCGTCCAACATCCTCAACTCAGAAAATCCATGTTTCACAAACATAGAGCAAAACTGCTCTCACCGACGCGTTGTAGGCCTGACATTTTATAGCTAGACTGGCATCACGAAGGCGCCAAAGATGGTCCAGATTGGCATAAGCCGCTCTGGCTTTCACCATACACGAATTGATCTCATCACTCGCACCACCACCAGCACTTATGCAACTACCAGCTTCATGAACTTCTCGACTACTTCTCTGTGCTCACTACCCAGGGTGAGTGTAGGTTCAGGGTCCTGCCAGTCTTGATAAAGTACTTTGCACTTAAAAGGTGCAAAGCACATACCATACCTACGGACATTAATATGCCAACTGATTGAGTGCGGATGGCATGGTTTGGGTATGATCGCACAGTAAGGCGATATCATCTGCATACTTAAGGTTGAGAGGTTTCTCCAGGCAACAGATCCACACCAACACTACCTACATCCACCAAAGCCGTTCTCAGAACGTCATCGGTAGCAAAGTTGTAGAGGAATGGTGAGATTAGACAACCCTGTCTAGCCCCACTGCTTGAATGGAACAATGGAGAGAGGTGGTTGTATGCCCTCACTCTGCCTGAGGTGTTTGTATATAGGGCTTTTATGATGTTAATAAACTTCTCAGGCACACCAATCTTCAACAGTCCTGTCCAACGAATAAAAGGCAGCCCTAATATCAAGTAACTACAATTGTTGGCTTTTGATAAGTATGACGGTGTTTTAAGATTTGGCGGAGGGTGAAGATATGATCAACACATGCTCGACCAGAACGGAAACAAACTTGCTCCTCGGGAGTCAATCTTTCTCGGGTTTTGAACAATCTACGAAGTACGATGGAAGTCAATAGTTTGGACTCCGATAGTTGTTGCAGGAACGATGTAAACCCTTTTTAAAGATAGGAACAGCTACTGACTTATTCCATGATGCTGAAACACTCTCTAATTGTCAGACCTTTGTAAACAACTCACTCAGTTCCTTGATCAGAAAGTCACCACGATCTTTGTAAAAGGCAAGAGGTAAGTCACCTGGGCCTGGTGATTTGTGGCGCTCCAAGAGTTGCAGTTCCTTGTGGACTTCCGTCTTGTTAAGCGGGTCAGTCGTCACAGACCATGGATGGTAGGACAATCTGATGGATGTTGCTGGAGCAGCAGGCCAATTGAACTGCCGTTCGAAGAATTCTGCCCATCGTCCAAGACGTCGATGGATGTTAGTGATTGGTATCCCGTCATCCTCACAGATTGTCTCACTCACACCAAACTTCTTGCTGCCAGTGGCTCGGATGAGTTGAAAGTTCCCGGCAGTTACCAGATGCAGCTGCTGCTTCCAGCTCTTTAGCACGCTCTGACAACCAGGCTTCTCGGTCCTTACGCAAGTTTTGTCCAATTTCATTGCATGATTAGGGTCCAGATAATTACTTCAAAAGGAGCAGCAGGCTTGTACATAACCACGCCAGCGATAGGTGATTGCGATGTGATCAGTCTGAGCCCAGGCTTAAGATGCAGAGGAAGGATGCCAGGTAGCACATCGGCGATGTCTGTGCCGGTATTTAGTGCTAGCCAGAAACAGGTTGTAGTTTGCTCACGGTTTCAGTAGATGGTCACCGTTATCTAACCTGCGACCAACAAGTCCCAATCAGCCATCCAAACGACTTCTGTGCCTAGATGCCCGAACTTTCCATTCAAGTCTTCGGTCAATACAACAATATATGTCGAACACTTTTCGTAGAGGAACACATAATTAGTGGTAGAACTCATCCTTGATAGGATCCGAGCTTCAGTCTGTCGGGCGTAGGCGTAGATGTTCAAAAAAATCGTTTCGTACACCGACTCACTTTGGTGAAGCTTTCTAGTCTATCAGTGTATAACCAACTGGGAATTTAATTGGTCAGTGCTGCCTCAACTCTAGCGCAACGAACGTGAGGTAAGCTTTTCGAAGCGACAAATGAAGAGCGAATTTGTAGTACTTCGCTAGAGTCTTGAATACGAGTCTCGGATAGACACCAGACATCGATATTAAGACTTCTTAAAGACATAACTAACTCATCTGTTGTTCGATCTGCATTAATGTACGGACGTTGAAGGCAGCCAGTTCGAATGGTGCACGTGGTCTGAGAAAGACTTTCAGTATTCGTAGTCGGTGGTAGCATTCATTTTTCGACCAGTCACTGACCTGGGATCGTTTAGATAGGACAGGGTATCCACCATAGGCGAGCCCCTGTATAAGTTGGAAAAGAAAATGTGCAAAATGAGTATAAAGGGGAATACATAAATGACGTAGTATAAAAGCGATAAGAACGAATATTATCAAATGATTGTGAGTGGAGTTTATCTGAATGCGAGTTGAAGCAAGAATAATTTTTCCGGTAGTAATAATCATTTGGTTTGTATGAGTGCTGGAATACTGCCCGGGTGCCCAAACCGAAACAGGTGGTTTACTTAGGAGACCACATTCAAAGCCTTTGACCTAAAGGTCTAATCCACAACGTCAGGAAATGCAATTTCATGGTACCCAGTGACCAATAATAGGTTCATACGTCTTTTATGCCCTTAGGATCCTGGAGCCCATGTACACCAATGATTTGAAATCAGGGTTTTCCAACTTCCCTAAATGAATCCTCCATATCCACCAACCCGGTTAAAGCGCTGGACATTAGCTTCTCGTCCTCTCAATTTCGTAAACAGAACCTCTGTCACGAAAAGGCAGGGAGTATGACTTCTCTGGCAGTGGTTGTATACGCGTGTCCATGTACTCTTCCCACCCTTGGTTGTGCCAGGGCCGGTTCCTGATTTTTAACAGTTCCTTATCTGATTTCAGCCCACAATGACGAAATGTTTTAAGCTGACAAATTATAGAGGTTTTAATACTTCATTCCGACTCTACGTATCACTGGCTAAAAGGACTTTCGTGGGATCATGAAATACTGAGTTTATGAACTACTCAATGAATCACTATCTAAGTTCCCAATAGTTCTATAATCAGTGTGACTATTGTGAAAACTAACATTTTTGTTGTTTCCATGCAATCACTAATTTAAAACATCAGTCTTTTAAATTTCCTCTTTATCTTTTTAGTGTGAAAAAATCTGTTCAGAATGGCCAGGTGGTGGTATAGCAAATATCCGTTCTATTTACATTCAAAGCTCAGGTATCTCCATTCCTTTGTACTACGATGAAACAGAAGCACCTTTAGCTACAATAAGTGAAAAATTATCGAGTCTTCCTAAAGCTGTTCACCGAAGATCTCATACACTTATTAAGAAACTAAAAAACACAGAGGATGGTGCGCCAATCGTTAGTCAACCTAAAAAGTCTCAAAAATCACTTAAAAGATTACCGAAAGAACTCGTTTCACAAATTGCAGATGATCTTCCTTTGACATCAGATGAAGTCGACAAAATTTTACGCAAACGAAACTTCAACTATAGTAGCATCACTCAAATGAAGTTAAAACGAAATAAAAGGATTTCCCGTCATAAATTTGTAAAAATATAGTTCATTCTTGTCAACGTTGCTTTTTCTGTCAGTACAGTTTCTACAATAAATTAGTACCTCTGAAGAACAGACATTACGTTTTTGTAAGGTAATCTCGTCGCACATTTGTAAAAATCAGTTGTTTGATAACACAAGGGTCCCGGAACTTGCACGTGTTCACATTTTGCATAAGATACGTAACAAAAACTCACAGATATTTGCATTTGTTTTTATGAACTGGTTGACTGATAAATCTCCGCTTAGCTATTAATCGGTAATTTATGTTATTTGTTGCACTTATTATAATCACCAAATGTTAGTTCCTGGTTTGTATTTATCTTCATAAGTATTGGTATCAGCCGACTTTAGATGACAATTATTCAATCGTACTTGTATATTTTACATACCTTTGATGAGGTGACCGGTAGTAAACATGTAGTAGCTTCGCTCTGTACACCTCTAGACATCTTTAGATTCTTAACAATTGCACATTTCCTGTCTTTGTATGGATCAGGATTGAATGAGAATTTCCCGCATTTCTTCTAGCAATCGCATCTTCGCGCAGTTCTTGAGATTGGTCTGTTACTGATGTCTGTTTGAAATAAACTCATCCACAATCTTGGATATTTGACCCTTTATTATGTCGTCAACAGTTCTTGAAGTAACTAAGATACCAACCTAGAAATGTATAGGCGATCAGTTGGAAGACATCTTAGATGATAAAAGCTTTACACTGAAAGTTTTTGTACGTTTTCCCAGAAGTCGGATTTTAGAAATACATCTGTTCATTCGGTCGAACTAGTAAAATGTGAGCTAATGATATATTGAGATGATACTATCCAATTTAGTTCATTATTCAGCTGAAAATACTACTCGGTATACTGAATGAATACTTGCTTGCATATTCTGGCTGAATACTTGACATTTCCTTCAAACACTTATGTTAAACAACTTATCGTTTAATATCGATAACTATCAGATGAGAAAAGGTCTTATTTATTAGTTTGTTTTTCATGACAAAATTAGACCTATGGATTGAAGATTGACATTCAATATCAGCCAGATAAGCATTCGTGGTGGTTTGAATCGCCAAATATTAGAACATTTATAACATGTTTTTTATAATACTACAGCATTCTGCATTTAACCTAAAAGTGATTCTCGTCCCTATACTATTGATTATTTATGGAGTAGTATAGATAATATCATGCCACAGTTATTCCTAAAAATTTACCTTCAACTTGTGAATATTGGCAAATATAGCACATAATACACATGCCTAAATTAAGTTTTTTTTCTGCAAAATATTGACACGAGTAATGTTATAAATTTATTTTAGGTAAAATTACTTTAGAATGACATCGAAAATTTAAGCCACATATAAACTACCAAATATAACAACTTATATATGAGGTCGAAACCTAGGCTGAGAAGCATCAGCGAATAGAGATTAAAATAATCGACTATCTGTATTGAATACTGGGTTGTCTGAATGTTTATCATAATTTTAATGAGATGTAAACGAAAGTATCTTGCTTATAGTCATATTGTGTGTTATGCATCGGAAAGTATCGTATTTGACTGAATTTTTTCAAGATTTAACGAAGAGTTAAGCGATATCTGTTTAACTTTTTATGAGGTAATACGACTAAATATCTCAGTGTTTATAATCAACTTAATTCTTGATAATTCTTAAGGATTTTTCCATTACAAATGTCTATTACATAAATTTCTGTTGAGTAACCTTCTTTAGGGCTGATTATATTTTCACTTGACTTTCAATGAATAGACATTATGGACTAAAATAATTGAAGCATATCAGAAAATCAATAAAAGTACATAAACATCTATCTAGGAGTAGATATCACTTGTACAACAAAACATTTGAGTTACATTATTTTACCTGTAATAATTTACAGATTTAATTTATCATTCAGTAATGAAATATTTTACATTCCAGACATGAAATATTAAACAGTCAAAATAAATAAATATCACACAAAAAATCTCTCATCAACCTAACTAATGTCTCTGAAATACTTAACTTGATCTTCAACGTCGATTTCTCTGCATTTATATGTTCAAGAGAAACGGAACTATTTCTGAATGAAAAAATTACAAGAGTAATATTTTCAACAGAAGCAAAACGAATCTACTATTTTAAATGTATTAATCAGATCAACTATCGTGTGAATTACATTTCGCTATTTAACTTGATGTGTCTTCTCACCAAAATCTTTTATTTATCAATCATACAATTTATATTTTGCTTACTGACAATTTTCAACACCACATGAACTAATTCTACTATTATTATTACTATTGCTGTAATGAACGAGAACACCAGTGGGGACAATCTAATGTATTTGAATACGAAATTAAAGAACATCTTAGTAGAATCTGAGAACCATACAGTAAATAATTAATTTGCAAAATGTCAATCGATTGTCTCAAATTTGACTGTTCCTTTTGCAAATGTCAGTCAACCATCTCAGACTTCACGTTCCTTCATTTCCACACCAATCATTCTCTTTTCTCGTTCGCTTTTCTTTAATCTTCTTAACCTTCTGCCTTCAGGTATTTCACTTTCGATTGATCACACATACTACTTATATTTTTCGACATTAGTAGGACACTACGTTACTACTACTGCTACTCTTACTAATAATATTGTGAACGAGAACACAGGTGGAGACAACCAACGTATCAAAACAACACTACAGAATCTCTTCGTTAAATATGAAAACCATACACTTGAAACTTCATTTGTAACTTTCTGTTGCTTGTCCCTCACATTCTGTATGATTTTCAAGTTCACAATTTCTTCCTATTTTCCCTTCTATTCTCTTCAACATGATCTTAGCCCACTGCTGCCAGGTTTTCCACTTTCAACTGATGTTACATGCTACTTATGTCTGTTGTCGTAAGTAGGATACACAACACTACTACTAATACTACTTATACCAATACTAATTATAGTAGTAATAATAACTAAAATATTTTATATTTGCGTCCAGTTGATAAAATTTCAGCATTGTTAATGTGATTAGATTAATAAATAGATAAATATTGGTGAAAGCATTGTTTTTTGACTACAAATAGTCAATGTTAAACTAAGAAGTAACAATAATTGAAATTATAAGCAGAGATAGGTGGTAGCATGCAGTAGAATCGTCCTATTTGGGACCCGAAAGATACTTAATTCGAGTTCCAGAATGAACATCAATTCTGGGATGTGGTACATTCAGATGACGAGTCTCAAATAAGATGAGACGCGCGTCCTGGACTCCACTACTTGCCACCATCCGTTTATGCTCATAATGTATATGTTACTTATAGTGACCAGTGTACGTTTGTATAGTGCCAGCCAGCATTATACATAGATAATATAAATGAAACTAAAATCTGAAAGAGGAGAATGCGGACTTCGGTGTAAATCGTGAATCAAATAGATCTAAAAGTCCAACAATCTATGCAATTACAAAGTCATTGCGAAGCAACCTCCTTCATTGTCCGACAAAATGACGGCATGGCGAAGGTGGTTCTTTAAGCACATCAACTAGGTGGACCAACTGAGGAATTAGGTATGGGAAAACTGTACCCGAATACCGTGGTGTGGCTAAGAATGAGAAGAGTTCGCTCTCCCTCTCGAAACGCTTTCACATAGCCAGTGTTAGACTTTATCCAACTCCAATAGTACTTTGGTTTATATTCATCGACTTAAGTACCTTATTTCCAAACTCCTGATTAGAATAACACGTCTATGTTTTTCACCATTTTGCTAGTCTGCTACTAAATTATTATGGATTATCATTGGGAAAAAGTTGTGTATATTTACGATCCAACAGTTAAAATAATTGGATTTGAAATCAGCGGTTTAGGTGTCAAACGTTAGCAACGAGATCTGTCGTTTTTAGTTTTGATCCTTGGAGAGATCCTGACTAAAAACCACGAAGAAGTCCAATCATATACTCGTAGTGACTCACATTTATCACGAGAACACGACTGGTTTAATAAAAACGCTTATTATTATAACCAAGTGTACCAGTGACTGTTTTAATGTGCTTTTGTTTGACTGTGCCAATGACAGCTATTTTGTGCTTCCATTCTTTTACTTACACTTCGATTGTAACTTCGCGCGAATTCGGTTACGTTCTGTAACCAAGCTTGTATTCTGGTACGATCTCGGTATCCTTTCGATGCCACGAGATCGCCAGCAAATAAACCTCGACTTGGTCCATTAATTGCCTTCTGGTATTCGGCTTCTCGGGGATTTTATGGATCTATTTGGTTACGTCCAACCTTCGCCTTCTGATTTATTTGGCACGTGTATCTTGGTAGCGGTTTTCATAGTCAATTTCGACTCGACACCACGCTACATACTTTTTTAGTTTATACCCCATTTAGTCTCAATCCATGATGAACACAATGCAAAAACAAAACTAATCTTTACAAAAATAAGTAGAGATATACTCAATTAACACAGTACTTCTTGACAGGTATTCCAATAAAGGGTAAATTTGGACTGATGTTTTTGTTATTCTTCGATAAATGATTACTTGTGAATTAAATGTACTGTTTCTGGCAAAACAATGTTTTAAACAATTTCAAAATCTTATTTTTCAACTAAAAACGATTATTTTTTAAAACTGAAAAATAAATCAAAATACTCTAAAATGGTAAAGTGAATGATTCATTAAGTTAAATGTATTGAAGAAATGTTGATATTTTTAAAGCACTTTTTCTTAGGAATTACTACATTAATCAACCAGATAACACTTCGGGTTATGTTATTTTTTCCATACTACATAGACACTGAACATTCGATTCGATTTGATTCGTCAATGTGAATCAATCTAGAGTATTCTTTGGGGTAATCCAATTAGTAATCTTCATAAAGTTAAACACTCAATTTACCGTAATTTATGTAGGATGTTTGAGTTAACCATAACTTGTTAATCTGACCATTGTTTTCTGTTAACTTCAAGGATGTATGTATTCAGAAGTAAAGTGATATTTTATCATTAACCAAGAAAATAAACAAGTTTTTTACCATTAATCATGCATACAAATAATGGCATATACACACTAGAACAGTATTCCTGTAAGATGCAGTTATTTATGTAAATAAAATTTTTAAGAGTTATTCGATCTGGCAATAAACGTTGGAGATAAAAATTCACCACTATAATAATAAAGATATCGATTAAAGTCCTTGCGTAATTCAATAATTTCAATGACGTGCCAATCCTGAAGTACGAGTTACTTACTGGACGATACTAAAGAGCCAACTGCAAACATGAAATGTAGCGTGGTCTACTGATGTTGACAGATATAAGTAGTATGTATGATCAATTGAAAGTGAAATGCTTGGCGAAAAAAGGTTAAGAACATCGAAGAGAAGAGAACGAGAACAGAGAATGATCGGTATAGAAACGAAGGAACAATCAAGTATGAAACAGTTGATTGACATTTCGAAAATGAATTATTTACTGTATGGTTCACAGATTTTACCAAACGATTCTCTACTTTTGTG